AGGGAGGAGGCTTCCAGAGGAGACGAAAGGGAGGATACACAAGAGCAGACTATGCGGAAGTGTTTTCACTACTTCACCACCTTCACAGCAGCTGATCTGACTCAGAGCTCCGCCCCCACCTTCACAGCCTCTGCTCACTGCAGCTGATCTGACTCAGAGCTCTGCCCCCACCTTGACAGCCTCTGCTCACTGCAGCTGATCTGACCGTTAAAGGAGGATCAGAGTCATTAAATGTTTAAAGAGCTTCATTAAGAGTCAAAAATCTCTTAAATTAATGAGGAGATCATACTCTATAAAAACATTAAAGTGTGTGAAATATACTTACAAATACAATAATAATGTTTTGATAATAAAATAACTTACAGTTCTTACTTTTGGTTTTTGATGCATGTGTGGTAGACCCACAGAACATCAAACATTTAGGATATAAATACGGGTAGCAGAACTAATACATATTTGAGTGATTTGTATCTCTCTTCTGTAGGACAAATTAAATATTAACATACAAAAGCTGATCTGAAACAAGCTAAAATACCATAAGGAAATTAATCCATCAATTATTATTATGATTATAATAACTTTAATGAAATGTTATACCTGGAAAAACAACTTACGGAGGCGGGGCTAAGACGCAAGGAAGGGACGAGTGAGGGAAAGGAGGAGGCGAAATATTCAATTGAGATGAGCCTAGTGTGTCCCTTTGATGTACTCTGCCACTAGAGCACTAACATCCTCTGCTCTTGTGCTTCACAGGGGGCAGGATTTGTAGGAGATGTGGAAGGAACCCTTTCTAGTTTTTTAGGGGAGCTATGTCTGGGAAATCCTTCATAACAAACAGTTCATCAATAGCTGCAGCATGTCACAGTAAGGACTTACAGTCTATACCGTTGACTCTTTGTATTTGGACTATTTAAATGTCCGGTGCCTTGCTCAAGGGCACTACGGCAGGGCCCAGGAGCTGAACTGGGACCTCTTCAAGTACCATTCCACACCCCATATTTAGGTCTGTTCGGGGACTAACATATGGAGCGTGGACTGGCTTGCACATCTCAAAACATTCTCTTACACTATTTATCCGTTCTATTTCCTATAAATATATATATTCATTTTGCACTGTTGGAGGAGCTTGGAACTTAAGTGTTTCATTGCCATTTCTACACTGTAGCTACTGTGCACATGACAATAAAGCCTTGAATCTTGAATGAGGGTGTCTTGCATAAGGGGTTATAGAGAGGTGTATATATGGCAGTGCTGACCTGGAGCCCACATTGTAGATGTTGTACTGTAGAGTGAGGTCTCGGCCCTCCACAGCGTAGCGGTTGAGCAGAGATTTAGAGGCCAGCAGACGGGCCCCCTCCTCTCCGGAGCCCAGGGCCAGCAGAGCCAGGACCACAAGCACGTGAAGCGTCTTCATCATCTTCGAAAAGAAGACATCAACAATTACAATCTGACAAACAATGCAGAGAGTGCTACAAGGTTGGGATGTTTGGGGTCAACATATCAGTCGATCAAACTTCATTTAAAGTGCTGGTGTCACAAATTACACATCTGTTTCAGGGGGACAACAAATGAAAAAAATTAAGAAACCCCGGGATATTTAAATAAAAAAAGATAATACAATTACAACGTGCATTAAACTATGTAAAGACGGAAAGGAAGGCTCAATTTGTACTTGAAATAGCCAAGTTATCAGGTTATCATTATAAAAAGAAACATGCTAGCTTTGAAGAGCTATTTTGATCAAACTTGATCCGTAGAAAATAATCAAAATACTAGTGTTGGAAAAGAGCATTCATTAATATTTGAAGTAAAAGTAATACATTTAGAAGTCAGTGCTGAGGGATGAAAGTTCCTGACGCATACGTGTACAATACGAGTCACAACGCTATCTATCGTTAGCTCCAGTTAAACTGGACAACGAAGCCCAGGGTCTGCGTTTACACTACACAAACTGAGGCAGTAATGTCATTATAAAATATCAAGTTATAAAATGAGAGCAATTTGAAGAGTTAACAGAAATAGATGAGCAGACTCTTACCGTGTTCTGCTGCTGTGCGAGTCGCGGATATAGAAGGAGTTGGACACGCGCATGCTCAGAATCTCAAAGCTGCTATTTGCATGACGTGTACTGACAGGGAAGTTACGGAGGGCGGGAGGCGGCAGCGCCCCCTGCTGCCTGGGGGCGGTATGGCAATACACGTTTATTCATATAGCAATTTATTTCTAGTTGCCACTCGGCAGTGTCGGTGTCTCTGGCCCAATCCCAAGCCGCCCCCTACACCCTACCCCTACACACTACCCCTCTGTTTACGCATTCGCGCGGAGGGTCCGCCACATGCTGTTCCAAACCAACGAGTGTGGAGCAGTGTGGAGGGGGAGTGGGCTATCAAGCCCTCAAACAGCGAGTCTGCAGCGGTGCTGACTTGATAATAATAATAATAATAAATTGTATTTCTATAGCGCTTTTCTTGAACCCAAAGATGGTTTACATTTGGGAGGGAGGGTAGAGAAACAAAACAAAAACAAAACCAAAACCAAAAAGAAACAAAGAAACAAAACAAAACAGAAAAGCAGTCAGGATGAAGTTGGTAGAGAGTGGGGGGCGGGTTTAAGGATA